TCTCAAATAAAAATAAAAAAAAAATTCTCTCTCTCTCTCTCTCTCTCTCTCTCTCTCTCTCTCTCTTTTGGTACTGGTGATCGAGCTCAGGACCTCCAGTTTTCCAAGCAGGCACTGTGCCACTGAGCTAAATCCCTGGCTCAAATAAAACGTTTTTAAAAAATTATAAAAAAATAACATCCCTCAGCTTGTTGAATAGCATAAGGGGTATTTTTGGATACCTGCCGTGAGCATTCGTGGTGTTTTTGGATATCCACAAGAACTATGATATGAATGAATCAGATTTCTGCAGTGATGAGTCCCAGGCACTGCTACCATTGCTGCATTCCTGATGGGAGGAAGTGCTAGAGGTGGTGAAAAGGAAAGCAATGTCTTCCTGCATCCAAGTCCTCGGTCACTTGGTAGTGCTATCCCGACCCTGCCCACTGTGATCTGCCCTACAATTCATCGCACACCACTCCCCTCTCTGTTCTGGGCTGCTCTGGTCACCTCTTTGTTCTGTGAATTTCACAAGTGTGGGAGGCGTTGCACATACTGTTCCCTTCACCTGGAATGTTCCTTCTCACGCTTTCTTCCAGGGGACTTTTAGGTCTTAGCCCACGTATCATCATCAAAGAGAAACCTTCTAAAAAGGAACCATTCCCGCCTCTTGTATTCTTCCACATAGTGCTGTTTATTCAGTGTTCTGTGCCCGTAACTCCATCTGAAGTCATCTTTTATTTAGGCACTTACTTGTGTATTTTCTGTCTCCCACACTGTACTGGATGTTCCGTGTTAAAAGCGCCCATGTCTTACCTGATTCACTCCTGGAACTGCCTGGCACATACTAGGACTCATTAAATATTATGTAGTGAAGGACTGAATGAGGTGAAATACTTGAAATAAGGGTTCTTTTTCAAAATTTGTGGCATGTGTTTGCTGTACCTAAATTTTACCTTAGCCAAAGCTTTAAAGTAATGAAAGTTTAGCCGTAAGGAGTACCTTAGAAACCATTTATTTTCCAGCACTCTGGAGGCTGAGGCCTAAGGAGCATTAATTTGAGCTTAGTTTGGGTTACACAGTTGATAGCATGTTGCAAAAAACAAAAGCAAAGGGTAGGGGATTTAGCTCAGTGGTGCTACCTGTCTCACAAGCACAAGGTCCCGAGTTCGATTGTCATTACCAAGAACACCAAACAACAACAACAACAAAGAGAAAAAGGGCCAGGGATTTAGCTCAGGGGCATCACACCTGCCTTGCAAGGTCCTGAATTCAAACCCTGGTACCAGAAAAAAAAGCCAAAAAAGGGAAAACATCCATTTTCTCACCTCACTCCCACCCCTTGGATCCTTAGTATAATTGAGTAAACCGAACACAATTACAAGTCTCAGTCACAGTCTTTTAGGCCTTGATGGTCAAGGCAAACTGGGGCTCCTGGCCATAATTTAAGTAATTATCACAGTGAAGTGAAGTCAGTCCAGAAACCAGTTTAAGAACTGGAGAGCATCTTGCCCACCCCTCATTTCAGAAGTCAGTGAATAAGGTCCCACAGCAGGGTGGCCTGGCCAGGACAGTTCAGTCTCTTGAGCTTGAGCTATAGCTTTCCATGATTTACCTCCTTACCTACTGATGCATAAATATTTTGGGTGTCAGCCCCAGTCAGTGCCTAAAGAAGGGAGAATTGTTCTGCACTCAGAGAGGGAAACATTTCTGTCTCTTCTCATAGTAAAATTTTTTTTTTTTTTTGATACCTGGGATCAAACTCGGGACCTTGTGCTTATGAGGCAGGTGCTGGAAGCACTGAGCTAAATCCCGAGCCATTGTCTCTTCTTACTGTATCTTGTAAGTATGTGTTGCACATTCACATGCTTATTCAGCATGGGAAGGCTTATTGAGCACTTACTGTGTGCTACCCATGGGAAAGGCATAGCTGTCCCTGCTTCCTTGTAGCTTGATCATGGCCGAGCCTCCAGTTTGAGTGAAATGAGACTGATTGAAATAGCAGTGTGATAACTGATTGAGAGTGTTTCATGATTGCAAGGGCAAGGTTGCTGAGCTGAACGGTGGGCAGGCTCTTCAGTCATTGGAGTTTCTCCAGGGGCAGTAATATTGCTTGCAGCCCTGTAGGGCAGGGCATCTTTATAGGCACTCTGTGGGTTTGGACCACTTCTCACCATTTGAGTCTCCTTTGTGGTGCAGTGAATAGATGGATGGATGGATGGAATGAGGGAGGAAGGGATGGAGGTATGGATGGGTGAGTAGGTCGATGGACAAAGGGACTTGCTGACTGTTCTCTCCTCTTCAGCCTGGAAAACAGGACAGTGATTGGCAGCAATAAGACAGATTCCTCACTATATATTTCTGCTTCTACTGTGAGCCCCAGACATGAGCTAATTGTTTATTGACAGAACTGACGGAGGTCAGGCAGACTGTGAGAAGACGCAGGAGTTGTCTAATAACTGCTTGACAAAACATCAGATAATGGCATTATTGGTTAGTGGGCTAATTGTTCATGTGAGATCATTAGAGGGCACCAAATCAAAGAAGTTCTCACAATCGCCAAAGGTTGGAGGGCTTTAAACATCATCATGAAGATAAAAGATTGTTGAGGTCTGCAGATATTTCCCGGTGACGCAGAAAGTTCTGTTGGGCAAAAGTGTGGCATTTTTATTTATTTAGCTCAGACTCATTGCATAATTTATTCTTTCATTTAAAAACAAATTAGGAGGGGGCTTCAGTGAAAGAGTTGATTATTTCACTTTTTGGCAAAATTTCCATAGGAACTGTTCAAAAGCTATGTAATAAATCACAGCCCCTCTCCACTTGCAGGCAGGACTGACATTTAGAGGAGGCTGTTCATAGGAAGTCCTCTTGGGCCTGGCATGCATTGCATACCCCAGCCCTCAGGATTGAGCTGCCTTACAGAAGAGCTGCTTGCTAAAGGCTTAACTCTTCCAGGAGCCAGAGTGCTTGGCCGTGGGTCATTCCTAGAGGAAAATGTAACTCATAACATAGAAAGAGCCCCCAGACTGTAATAGTGTGACGATACCCTTGAAGTAGTTTTGCACTCGGTTTTTTCCTCTGCACTGTCCAGCAGGTAGTTGTTCAGCCCATATTATGCAGGCTCTGGAGCTGCAACACAGGCCACTGTTGAGAAGGAGTGAGGTCTCATGGAAAGCTTTTGGCGTTGCTCATTGTGGTCAAGGTCGAATGGTGGCTACTACCTTTCAGCAAGTTGCTGGATTTCTCTAGGTTTCAGTTTCTTTGTCTGTAAGATGGAGACTCACCTATCAACCTGGCAGAGCCATTGGGAAGGCCAGCAGTGTCATACAGATAGCATTATTGTCGTCCTTACCATCATCTCCATTGTGGTGGTCATGGCTTGAGGGCAGAGGTGGAGGGACTTGTAGTTCAGGTACTTGTAGTACAGTCATGCAGGTCCGTGGGGACCTGAGTTTTATTTTGTAAAAGGAGAATAAATTGATGTGCTATTGGTACAATTAAAAATGAAATGAATGAAGCCAAGAGAGTGATTTAGAGCAAATGATGATGTTCTTTGTTTCCTTCCTTATTGACTTGTGCTCCTTGAGGAGTCAGTGGGCCCAAGAGGACACTCCGACAATTATCACACATCTCTGTGACCCAGTCCCCTTCAGGCCTGCCAGGCTGGCACTCAAGCTCTTAATTTCATCGTCAGGGAAACCAAGTCTCTCTGGACGTCATTGCTGTCCTTGGGATGATAAGGGAGCGTCATGCCTGTCGTTCTGCCACTTAGCCGTGCTCTGATAAGGCACAACATCTGCTTGTCCTTGGAGGGCAAGATAAATTTAGATGTGGCAGGTCTGAAACATCAGGTGACCTGGATGCACCTGGAGCTTCTAGGAGGGAGAGGGTGACTGTCTGCTCAACGCTCTTGGTGCCAGTCTCACCTTGCTACAACTGGCTACTCCTCTTGAAGGTGGCAGTGTAAGCTTGATGCATGCAAGAAGCTTGGTGGTAGCCAAACATGTGGTGCATGTTTGTAATCCCAGCTGGGAGGCTGAGGCAGGAGGATTGCAAGTTTGAGCCTAGGCTGGCATTTTGTCAAGTTAGGGAGACCTTATCTTGAAATTAAAAAAAGAAAAAAACAGGATTCAGCTCAGTGCAGGGGCTCTGGGTTCAATTTCCAGTACCTGGAATAAATACATATATAATCAGTGCTGTTAGTCAGGGTGGCTTTCATCTGGGATGTAGTAGGATAAGGTCCTGGCAGAGGTTTTCCAGGTAGCTGGACTTGTGGCTTTCAGAAGTCGTTCTGCCAGGCTTTTACCTGATCAGGCCCCCTTTACTTTATTTGAGCTTCTGTGTAAGATTTTATTCCAGTGCTAACACTAAAGCCAAATTTGAAACCTATGGTTCCAATTTTCCAGAATAGAAAACTGAGTCCCCAGAGACAAAAACAGTCTGCCAACTCTCCCCATGGCCTGACGCTGAAGCAGGCCTCTTCC